GTCAGGGTTGGATTTGGGAGGAGGATTGTGCTTTCTTCACAAAAAAAGGAGCTGAGGAGGATGAAACACGGAGTTGATGAGACTGTTTTGCCGGGGCAAATCTCCAGTGGGGAAGGTCCGGCAGGACTTCCTGATCTTTTTTGGTCATTTTTTTCTATCCAATTGCGGGTCTCAATCAGTCTCAATCAGTTTGCTCTTCCTCAAACGACGACTGGTTGGAGGATGAGGTCTCCCTAGTACCGCGCGAGGTCTCTCCGTCGTGGTGTGCGTTGCGAGGTCTCCGATACAAGTGCGAGAGCTAGAGGAAGACACGTCCGAGCAGGGTGGCCAGGCAGGGCTTGGAAGAGTGGGTCAAGGATGGTCAAGGCAGAGCTGAGAAATTGGGCCTTCCTTGGGCTTTTTGCACGGTGCAGGTTCTGAAAGCCAATACATCTAAGGCTCTAAGGCCAATAGTCCAAGGTGTTGGACATTGAAGGAATACATTCTATATAAGATTCTGTATCAACCTGAGACTATCTGCACAATCCGACCCATCTGGAAAGTTGGCATCGGCATGTTGCCACACAGCTCCTCGGTTAAATAGGAGCCAAAAGTGTTTGGAGGAGTTGTGGCAAGTCTTGGATGAGCTTACCATCAATCAGAGAGTCATTCCCTTGAGAACTTGAGGACCCCCCATTCTTGCTTTGTCCACAAAAATGGCACAAGACAGGACGTGCAAGAGAACTATGAACATATGCTGGAACGGCTGCTGCAACAAACACAAGAGAAAGTCAGACAAGGGTTTGCGCCGAAAGAGCCTTGCCAGCAGCCGAGCTTGGTTGGTGTGGGCAAAACATTTTTTGTGACAGTTGGTGGATAGCTTCTTGGACTCTCGCAAGATGGTATTTGTGTTTGGTTCACTTCCATGTGCTCACTGTACAGTGCTGTCAGACATGTGCATCGTCATTGCTCCTTTGATTATCTTGGAATCCAGATATCCATCGCTACTGGTCAAGGAGAAAGACTCAGGACTTGTGTCCCAGTACAGAGATGGGCACACAATCCTAAGCCACGTGCTTTTGGATCTGAATCACGTCGTCCGGGTGCCTAAGGAGTTGGACTTGGCACGATCGCTCGTGAAGTCAATGGGAATGTCTCTTGGATCTCTGGATATTTTTGATATTTGTTTCACTTCTTCGATATGGCCCCTCTCTCTCTCTCCGCCTCTCCCCCAGATCAAACTTTCAGCAAACCGCCAGGGTGGGGGAGATGTGTGGCCGTCCGCGGAACGTCCGCGCTCCGAGGACGGCCCAAGGCCAGCAGTTGGCGATGGCCGAGGCGGGATCCGTGGCGATGGATCTCTGGCGGGATGGCCGAGCCGTTGGGGCAAGGAGCTCTGTGTGGCGGTTTGCGCCAGGTGAGGATTTGATTTGTTCAGCCGAGTTTAGCCATCCATAGCCCAAAATGGTAGAACAAGATAGTCTTTCAAGGCAGAAAATGGTGTGCTTGGATTGGCTCATGGGACAGTCGCTCGGCCAAGGCCAAGACACTTGAATGGACGGTCCAGATCAGATGTGTATTTGCTACACATCCTTCGCCCTTTGTGATGGTTGCGATATGTTGCGATTGTGTGTTTTTTTTTTTTTAAATCAGGCTGTCACGATTTTGCCGGATGTGCCACTGTGCTACTGTCTTTCTCCGGAGTCAGCCACGATCTTTCTGATTCCTCAGGGACTTGGCTTTTGAAACTTCTTTGTTTTCTTGTTTGAAGGATCAGGAATCTTGAAGATGTTCTTGTTCTAGACAGGCCGTGAAAGACCAGAATGAAGAGACTATTGAACAACAGCTTCTGGAAGCAGAGAAGACAGGTGCCGCTGAGCAAGAAGCTTGTCTGCATTCCACCAGGCTGGGTGCATGTTGATATGTCTAAGACAAAATCAATATACAGAATTGTGCAACAATCTGCTGGGGTGAAAGGGATGAACTCATTGTGGACTGGGTTCTAGCAGCTAATCTTGTTCAATCCAAATCGCAGCTTTATTTATTTACTGCTAAACTTTTGATGAGGCAGTGTCTTTAGAACCCAGGGTTTAGAACCCAACTGAATGCCCTGACTTGCTCACTTAGACTTTACTTGTATCAATGCCCTGACTCTCTCAATGCCAGCTCTTTGGAACGGTGTGGAAATCAGGCATGAAAGCGGCCCGTGGTGGGACGGTGGGACGTGTGACAGCGGCGCGTGGGTTCACCAACTGAGGAGATGAAGACAAGCCAAAGGTCTCTTGGACAGCACTAAGAGGGGGCATAGATTGTTGTATTTAAGTGGCGGAACAAGAAGGGTGGATGGGCAGACATGTGCATGAAGACGTTTGTTGGGTCTTCATCAGTCAGTAAGGAAGAAGCAATCCCATCAGCTTGTTTGACTCAGAGCTTTTGCTCCACAGCTGCGGGGTCTTCAGCGTTTTGCTTCCACTCACCGCAGTGCAGCCATTCCTAAGGAGTCCAACGACTGAGCCAGAGGCAGAAGACACGCCCACTGATCTGTCAGGGGGCGCAGGGGAGCGGCCGTGTGATTGAACAGATGTTCTTCGCTTCGATCTACCACGGTTCAGAGGAAGGACATCGGGTTTGGCCAAAAATCAGAGTTGGTCCAGGAGAGTTGATTAAGTCGCGATATGTAAGCCCTGAATTGAAATGCAGCAAGGTTCTATGATTTATGGCTTATATATTTATTTCGAAAGTGAAAAGCACATAGATATGGTGGGGGTAGAAGTTGATAGTGCCAGGTGTTGGCACTCTGAAAGCTGGGGCGCAAGATACAGTTGCCACCGAACAAGCGCCACTGACTTCGTTGCCAAGCAGGAAATCTCACTGGGCTTGCACGGGATCCTTGGGACCAGTTTTCTTAATTTATTGGTACTATGCCTGTTCTGAGGCATCGAACTAGGATTGACTCAGAACATGAGGGTCTTCGCTCCCCATTCTCACATTGTCAGCGCATATTTGGCGCAAGACAGGCCGCTGGCGAGAACTATAAAGACACCCTCAAATGGCTGCTGCATGAAGCTAAGAAGGAAGGCCTCGCCGAGAAAGAACCTTGCCGGCAGCCGAGCTTTGTTGATCAGACAGCGAATGTCCAAGCAGATCCAGATATCTATTGCCTCTACTTGTCAGCATGGGGAACGATAAGAAAGGCTATTATCTCCCTTTGTTAGGATTGGATATGGTGTGAAACGTCGACTCGTGCTTGAACCTCCTTGTTCACCCGCCCTCTAGTTGACATACAGCCAAGGAGCTGGAGATGGCAAGATCACTGCTCCAGTCCATCGAAAGGTCTCTCGAAGAAAGTGGGGGGAGTTGGCTGTCAGGATGATCAGGATGTGTAGAGACAGATTCTTTGGATCTCATCAGCTACAGCAGCTTGAGCCATTGTGACCTACGGATACACCGGGGGGGCTGAGGCCAAAGGAACTGCAAGAGCCAGAGAATGAAGACACGCCACTCATTGACTTGCTGGGTGGACAGGCAGGGGAAGCTTCATGCGCAGGCAGATGGAAAACAATTCAGGTACCGAGGACGACAAATCCTTATCTTTGGACCAAAGTCGATTTTCTTTTGCCTGCCATTGCTTGGCCTATTCTTACTTCAGCACGTTGCTTCAAGCTATTCAGCTGTACTCCTTCAGGATGAAATCAAGAAGTGCCGACTGATGTCACAAAAGATTGGACAGCTAGTCCAAGACATGGTGAGAGAAGGCGAGGCAGCTGCCCAACAGCCCTACATCTATCAGGGAATGGGCCTGGAGCATATGCTGGAGCTGGCGACGGGCTTCAAAAAGACCTTTGACTCACTGTGTCACAAGCTGGCCGAAAAGGTGCAAGGGAAAGAGGAGTTTGGAGGTGGGGGGTGGGAACATGATGGACACCTTGAATTTGGTACTCCATTTAAGGTTTGGTACTCCATATCGGAAATCGTTTGTGCCAAGATAGGCAAGAGAGAGTGCAAGAGAGTTGTATCTTGGACCTTGAGTCAAGCGACGGCGATCCAGGATGGAAAGTCTCCTACATGGATGCCCCAATCAAGTCAAAGGCATCGGCAGAAAGCAAAGTGAACACCGAATATCACGGCGACTGTCGACAACTGAAGGACTCATTTGACCAGAAGTCGTTGAATGTCAGAGAAGTTCCGGTAGTAGCGTGGCACTTGTTACTAGTAGCTGCTTGTTACTACTAGTAAGGCACTTGTTACTAGTAGCGTGGCACTTGTTACTAGTAGCTTCTTGTTACTACTAGTAAGGCACTTGTTACTAGTAGCGTGGCACTTGTTTCTAATAGCTTCTTGTTACTAGTACTGATAAATATGGATAACTTGAAAGCTTGTCTTGTGTCGTGTTGCCAGAGAGGACGTGGTGCGGGGCACTCTGGTCATTGATGGTAACGTTGACACAACATCCATCGAGACCGTCTACAAGCTCCTGGAACAGCTGGTGAAGAGCGAGGAACTTCTTCGTGATGCGAACGCGCGGTTCACACGCTTCTCCGATCGTTACCAGAATCCTGTTGGGCCAAGCCAGTCCGTTGGCTTGAAATGGCAGTTCTTTTCTTCGCGGAGGTCTGTAGCTCCTTCAATTGATATTTTTTTTCCCCAAATCCTGGCCTACAAGACCATCCGGTGCCTCAAGAGCAGCTCAAGCTGCCGGAACTGAGGGCCGAACCGGCCCGCCAAAAGCATAGGGATGTCTCCCATGCTTGAGTGCCAGCTGGCACCATCGTTTATCTAAAATCTGAAGACGACACTCTTCAGTTTCGTCGTGCGGAGAAAGGGATCCAGATAAATACGCATCCCTACATTGCCGGGAGCCATGTCGCAAGTGCTGAACAACGCGGCCACGAAAATGAAAATCACACCCGCAAACAGGACACAACGACCCATGAACATAAAACCAGATGGGGCTCCGCTTACAATGCTTCTTCCGCATGTGCGCAGCCAGGCCGGCCGGGCTTGCGCACACAAAATTGCACTCGGCGCATGCAATGCCAAACTGTGGTCGTTTAACCAACCGATCCAAACAAACAAAAAGACAGCAATTAGGGGACCACACATTCAAGACCTCCTGAAACCACAGGGGTCTTGCCAGAACTCAAATGAAACCACAGCAAATCCTTGACCACAGCATTGGCCCAGCAGCGTGCATGGGGCACAACATCCAGGGCACCACCACACTTCTGCCAAAAACGTAAACGACGTTTAGCTACGATGGCTAGGATGTGACATGTCCCAGCTCTATTTAAACAATCCTCGTAGCTCAAATTCCACAAAAAATGGCTCCAAGGGCCCATCTCATGCATTTGTGATCTTGAGCAATTAGCATCCTGACCTCACGCTCCTCCAGCTCAGGCCAGCTTTCCGCTCCATACAGCAACCGGGCACGAGTGACTGCAGAAAGGAGCTTCCACCGCGCTTTCACAGGAAGCGATCTCTTGTCAACAATCCCACGACGAAGCTCATGAAAAGCCTGACTAGCCTTCTGGCACCTGTGTCGTATTTCGGGCGTAATGGAGGCATTAGCAGACACCATGGCTCCCAAGTACTTGTAACCCTGCACAAATCTCAAGAGAAAAGTGTCATCAACCTGCAAACCATACTGCCATCCAGTCTCGGTGGAAACCCAGCTCTCACGTTGACATTGTCGAGCCTTCTTTCCTTGAAACTTCAATTGATATCCAGCTCAAACAAGCTGAAGCGTATTGCGGTAAAGCATGGAATCGAACACTCTCTCGCAGACCTTAGTATGACCTCCTTCCAAGGCAATTGCTTGCGGGGCTCTTTTTCGTCAATCTAGACTTGTCGCTTCCATTGCACCTACAAAAAGCTCTTCACCTGCAGGTATCGGGACTTTTTGTTCCTGCTGAAGATTGGTGATTTCCTTTGTGAGCTGCAGATGGCTCACCTCTTCAAGAGAAGGCTTTGTTTATTCAATCTATTGTACATCGAATAGTACCTTTGTGGGTATGTCACGGTATGTCAGCACCATTGCAAGTTTCACCATCCACCTCCTCTTTTTGAGCCCAGCCGCAGGTCAACTTCAAAAAGGCCATTGACGTAAAGCCGCTTACCTTGGAAATGGGTTTGGTTAACAGCCGTTTCATCCAGTTCCTTTTGTTGGAGCACATGTTCTAAAGCTCTAAAACTGCTCAAAATGTTTGGCAGGGACTGTGGCTGAGGCAGAACAAGCAACACAAAGTATACGAGAAGGAGCGCATGGGCACTCGCAAGCTTCTGGAAGCTGCAATGAACAAGGATGAAAACATGGTGCGAATTCTGTCCCTTGTTGCTGCACATGTGTGATCTGTCTTCTACTTAGCCTTTTCTGGTTTTGAGGAAGTGGCAAGATCTAAGTAGAAGGGAACTTTCAGGCAGAGTAACAGAACCTGCGTTGCTCCAAAAGGAAGTTCCTCGACTGTTTGCGAAATACACTGCCTTTGGTCCTGAGGCTATCCACTGACATTGACAAGGGCCATTTGGTGAGCACTCGCGATTGCCATGGTTTTACTCCATTGCATTACGCTGCCAGGCCCGTTGTCCTTTTAAGAAACAGGCTGAGTTGTCTCCATGAGGTGTAAATATGCATATTTTCTTAATTTTGTGACAATGCAGAAAAGTGAATGCTATCGACTGATCTCATCCTCAGCTTCTACACTCTCTCCATTGGTTCACCTCAGTCTCCAACATCACACGCCGTTCTTTCACACGCCGTTTGGTCTGGTCTGGACTTCGAGGATTCTTGGATCGTCCGAAGACATCTTTCACTCAAAGACCATGAGTCCGAAGAGCTCAGGTGAAAAGAGGACTTCTATCAGCATCCATGGTTGTCCCATCACCTAAAAACACAATGCTTGTTGGGCTGACGATTCCTATGGTGCTTCCTCTCCCTCTCAAGGCCAGCCAGGTTGCGGGGATCCTTGTTAAAGCTGGTTCTGCCTTGGTAGGTCTATGCTTTCCCACATCAAGATCTTGAAGTTGCAAGGCTGAACTTGTCGAGCTCCTCGAACATACGATCTTCTTCCCTGCGGTCAGGAAACTGCCACGCACAGCATTCCAAACCTAGTGCAACTGACTTGTAGCTTTGAGGGCTTTTGACTTGACATGCCCTTGTTGAAAGGGCATGACGGGACCTCTTGAACACCCACATGCACCAGCTGAAACGATGTTCTCGAATCGTTTGGCAAAGACAGATTGTGTCAAAACAGGAAGAGCTTGCACGTTGGGCTAGTTGGACATTGTAAAAAAAGTTGGCATATCACATGTCACATGGTTTTTGTTGGGGTGTCTGGGATTTGGATTTCTTTGCAGGCATGGTGCCATTGGCATTCTGGAGAACCTCATCGATGCAGGTGCCGACGTCATGGCCGTGGACCAAGAGGGCCTATCGCCCCTATACCATTCGGTGATGATGCAGCACCTGGAAGCCAGTCGCAAGCTCTTAGAACAGATGTCCAAGCGGCCCAAGCAGGATCTACGGACTCCCGCCCTTCAGAAAACCATGCAGAGCATCTGGGGAGCCATTCACTTCTCCGAGAGGCTCCGTGGACTGAAGGTGAACGCCTGCGAGCTGGCGAAGAGAGCCTTCACAACGCCAGCCAGGCACGTGTTTGGCCTTGCCGCCTCCGGTGACGTGCTGGCCATGAAGGCGGCACGCGAGACCTTAGACGAGGAGTACTTGGGATTGGGGTGGTTTCAAACCACCACCGATGTGGCCACCGGCATGCGGATGCTAATGCTGGACTGGGCCATCGCCAGCGGTTCGGCAGCCATGGCGACTTTGGTCCGTGAGCTTGGAAACAGCGTCAGCCGATTTGGTGATGACCTCTCGATGTATTCCAAGAAGGAAGAAGTCCAGTCGCTAGTCTCCAGAGGGCAGAAGGGCAGATTCAGGGCGTACCATGCAGTGCGACCCATCCTGCCCCAAGAGATGGCGGAGTATCTCTGCCTAGCGTGCGAGCACCAACGTTTGGACATGGCGTACGCCATTTGGACGATGGCCAGCGGAGACCTCAAAGAGGTGCTAAACGCAGAGCAAAAGGCCTCCCTGGCCGAGCTCGGGGGAGACGCGGCGGCCACCGGCCACATCGAGTTCGTACGCCTGCTCATCGAAGCCGAGGTGCCCCTGGACCATGAGTCCAAGAGGAACGGGAAGAAGATGATCCGCCGAGCCGCGGACAACGGACAGGTGCAGGTGATCCGACACTTGGCCGCCGCAGGCGCGTCGGTGGAAGGCAGCGATCTCGGTGCGGCGGCGTCGAAGGGACATCTCCAAGCGATGAAAGCGCTGATCGAGGCCAAAGCTGATCCGAACGACAGGTATGGCAGCGCCGCATCAGACTGCCCCGCGGGCCGGGCTGCGATGAGCAACCAGTCCGAAGCCTTGCAGTTGCTTCGGTCGCGCGGGGTGAATATCGGCACGAAGGAGCTAATCGCCTTGGCCAAGGAGAAGCAGAGCAGGGAATGCCTGGCAGTGATGGAAGAGCATCGGGCCGAAACAGCGACCTGATGGCGACGCGAAGCACGTCCGATCATGGCCCAGCACGACTTTGGCAAGTTGAAAGAATTTAAACGAGTTCACCTGCCTCGGTTCATTTGTTTTTTTTTCCAACTAATGACAATAAAAAGACTTGATGAATCTTGATGAATTGTTTTCCTTTGTAACTCTATCCAGCATGTCGCACCTATGATCCAGGGCAGGGAAGCTCTCCTTCTAGTTTGACCATCGACGACTGGCCAAGCCATATGCGTCACATGCACCATGCCAACCTCCTGATTTTCCAAGACCAGGGGGACCTGAGGTGTTGGCCTCAGTCCAGATCCGAGCGCACAGGAGGAAAACCAAGGATCAAATGCGCTGCCTCAAAGATGTTGCCGCGTGGGCTGCCTTGCAAACTTGGTGGGTGGTCAAGTCGACTCTGCTGGCATCTTGCAGGTGACGCTTGCGAGGTGAAGGAGGTGACATTTCCTGACAGGTGTGACGGAGGTGACATGTCGTGACAGGCGCAGTGCTTCATGCGCATTAGACGTGTGGATGTGGAAAGATTCGCGGCGGGCGCAGGGAATCGTGAGCGAGGTGTCAGGCAGGTAATATTTCGTGACAGGCGCAGGGAATCCTGAGGTTGCGAGGTATGACGGAGGTGACATTTCGTGACAGGCGCGGTGCTTTATGCGCATTAGACATGTGGATGTGGAACGAATTGCGCCGCTAGACAGCGCGGGCACGTGTGCTAGAAGATACATCCAGCTTTCACTTAAGCGTGAGAATTGGGAAGCCATCCGTGGCGTGGGGTGTGGTGGAATCCCAAGATCACTGTGAATGACGTCCGGGCCAGCCATTCCATCATGCCCATCCAGCGCGCTCTGCACAGCAGCCTCTGCGCGGGTCTTCAGTGGACAATGCCACTGTTCCTGTCGTCCTTGCAGACACTCCACCTGACCCACCCGTTCCAGACGCAAGTCTTGGTCTCTGTTCAGACCCACCCACAACTTCAAGGCAACGCCTCCTTGCCCCACGCATTTGTCTCCTGATGTCCTCAAAGGGACCTTTAGGGTTCAACATTTTTCTAATTGGGAAACGGCTGTCCAATTAGAAACCTGGCATACCACATGGCTGTACCCATGTCTGGTGTCACATACACCATGGCTCCGAGTTTGTTGTATTCGTGGCCCTTGCTCTCATCCGTTGAAGGGCGTCAGGAGGTTCCACAGAGCATAGAACCACGTGAAAGACAGGGCTGGTCCTGTTTGCCGAAATTCCACGGCTTGACTCTCACTCAACCTAGGAAGAGGCGGAGTGGGGTCCGCCCTGCTGCTGCACCAACGGCGATGAGTGTGTCACCAGAAAGCTCATGGCCACCTGTGGCGGGACTCCACCACCTGCCACCTCCCCTACGTGGACGTCACCATGTCGGAGACCAAGCGCGCAATCGTGTGCTATCCTGTCAAACATGCTTGAACTCCTTTTTTTGTCGTCTTTAACCCGTCTCACATGTGTCCAAATTCGACAGACCCTGAGTATTGCAATTTTGCTGACACTTGTCTGGAGATATCTATGCACAAAAAATGGCATACACGAATTATAACTTTGGATGTAAATCAAAGCCACTGCGTCAACAGCTGCTGAGCTTCAAGAGCTGACATTGGTTTTGGTTGAGTTGTGGAGCCACTTTTCCTGTTTGTCGTTTCCTCTGTACAACCTGGATGACTGCACATCATATGCAATTTGCAAGAATTGTGGTGCACCCACCCACTCCAGCGTTTTGTCCGGAGGTAGTGCGGAGGGTGGATGCCATCTATCCAGAAGGAACCACCGTGTGTTGACCATCTTGGAGAATGGGGGGATGCTGTGAGTAGATCAAGTAGACACTCGTGATTTTTGCACACAAAGGAGGTTCATCCTTTGCTGCACCGTTGGTGATTCAACGCCACTTGATTTCGGCCCCAGCTGGCGCCGAATTGAGCCCATTGGCGGTAAGCCGCGAATTCGTGCAAGACAAACACGTGGAAGCAATGGGTAGTGACCATGGGGCCATCTCTGAGGCCGGGGCAGAGGCTGTTTGGGGAGACATGCCTTTGAAAAAAACTATATGTTTCATTGTTTGGGGGAGAAGGTTTCACTGTCTGGTCTCCTTACACGTGGGACGATGTGGCCATGATGTCCATGATCTTGCACTCCCGGTCCTGGAGACCTTCGTGCGAGCAGAGTGCCAGACTGGACTGGACGCGATCTCCGGTTCCGGGTCGCCAGGCCTTTTTCGTCCACAGCGCCAACCTTGGCTGAAGAAATAGCAGGCCTTGCGGCAGATGAACCTCCGTGATGGCCCTCCACTTCCCAAACAGATTCAACAGTTGCATGCCAAAACCATGCTTCTCAAATTGTCTCGCTCACATGGTCTCAACGGGGTGGTGGCACGTGGCGGTGCCTGGAGGGAACTTGGTGCCCCCTCTCCGCTTCTAGGGTCCAAACAGTTGGATGATACACGAGTTGCCGGCTGAGATTTCCGTGAGAAGAGTGTGCTCCTCCGACCTGTGCCACATTTTTTTGAAACTGAATGTCTGTAAAGCCACATATGTATAATTGTTTACATATGTGCATGAACACATAGACAGTCCTGGATCCAGTAAGTCATGTACTCTTTTGCTCCTCGATGTAGGACCTGAAAGAAGAGTTGGAATTGTGGAAGCACACGGGTTCCACGCTTGTTCTCTGGGCTTTCACATACTACCACAGGTTGATGTGTGGAGTTGCTGAGCATGGCAGCAATGTCTTCGATGAAGCATCGAAGACATGAAACGGGCATGAAACGTTTTTTTCGTCGCAGACATGACATGCACAGGAGCAGGATCTGAACCGCAAAGGATCTGAAGCGAGACGAGCAGGACTGTGGACCATCGGACACCAAAACAGGAGGATTCCATTGGCACAGCTGCGCAGGTGCCTGGAAGCCTTCGAAGCTGCCATGCCGAGGCGCACCGGGGTGTGGACATGTACGAGCTTCATGTAATTGTCCACAGAGCATTTGGGCGTGATGTTCGATGACGTGCGTTTTGCACAGGTTTTGATGAGTGCAGGTCCGAGTAAGGAAAGAAGAGATGTCAAAGACAGGGTGCTCATGGGCCATGGGCTTGGTGACCGACATGCGTTGCGAAGAGCAGTTTGGGCTCAAGGTGTGGGCGAGATGTGCAGTGGTTCTGTGAGATGGCCCTCGATATGAGAGCGGTCACCGATGACTTGGAGCGGCTCGAGGCCGATCGGAGCAAGACGAAGCTCTCCAACGAGGACCTCGAAAAGGGGCAGACGTCGCACAGCGGCCACAGCGCTTGTTGCGTGGATGTCTCCCTTGAGACCTGCCACCCGAAGGGTCCCCAGCTAGGGGCTCTGGTGCTGAGCTTCATTGTTGCTTGTGCCGTCATTTTGCTCAACATGCCCAACATCGCACGTGCCACCGCAGAGGCCGTGCCGCGTCCATGGAGTGTCATCTATGTCATCTCGTTCTGGATGATGCTCTTGGCCTTATTGGGTAGCTGTTGCTTTGTGGGCTGGCTTGCCAAAGGTGAGGCGGAAGGTCGAAAGTACTGGCCTGCGGGTGGATGCTGCCTTCTTCTGGTTGTGCTACCAGGAGCAGTTCTTAGCCTTGTGTTCATCCTTGCAGACACTTGGGACGACTTGAGCCTTCAAGGTGCAGGCACAGCAGAGGCCTACACGATCGCCTTTCTCCTTCTTAGCTCGATGGCTGCCATACTGCCAGCGGTGGTCTTCTGCTTGATCGCAGTACGTGGGGTCCAACGCCGTCTTGCAGAAACCAGTGATTCCAAGATTGCCATAGGACTCTTTGCTGGGCTATGCTTAGTGCTTGTAAGCTTTCTGGTGGCCGGAATTGCCATATGCTTCACCTTGCAACCCTTGGGGGTAGGCCTTGCGTGGTTAGCATGCCTCACCTTGCTTGGCATCCTTATCTTCAGCACTGGCTCTTGCCTCATTGCGTGCCAAACCGCCTCGGTGGCACCAGAGGCAGGGCAGAGATGGCAGGGAAAACTGGGAGACGGATGAATGTATGACTGTAGTATGACTGTATGACCATTTGTTCTAACATATGTTCTATTGATATACAGCTTCAGATCATGATCAGATCATGCATTAAGTTATTTGCCAAATATCTTCTTTGATAGCTGGAGAATGCGACATCTTCCTCTTGATGCACCTTGACTTGTAGTTATCTTCCTATCTTCCTCATCCGATTCCTTTGTCCAGGCTTCAATGGACCGCCTCCCGCCTCGCCTCGCCCAGGAACTCCTCGCTCCGGAGCACCAACTGGGCGCCGCGCGCGTCTCGCGCTCCTCCGGAGCACCGCGCGCCTCCGGTGCGCGCGTCGCGCGGTCCTCGGCGCTCTCGGCGCGCTCCTTGGAGCGTTTGAAGGTCAAGAGACCCAGCCGCCGGAAGACTGTTTGAGACAGAGACCCTTCTAGCCGCCCAGGTGTTTTCTTGGGGCATGCCATGCTGCCATCCTGCTATGCCATTGTTCCTTCGTTTTTTCTAGATGCCGCTTCGGACACCATGCCATCGGATTCATCCGTGTGAAGTGGCTGTCTGTGACGTCCAGACTCCAAGTTTGAGGGGTTTGTCGGAGCGGTGCCGGAATCGCCCAAAGAAAGAACTGTTAACGTTACCTTTCAAAACCCCTTTCCAAGTGGTGTTTGAAGAATATCTTTGTCCAAATCAAGTTGGAGATGATATCTCTGGCGATTTCGGATCCAGGTGCATCCCTGTCGTCCCCTGTGTAGCTTTGAAGCAGGTGTCTTTTTCCCAGGGGGAGGCGGCTGATGCCAAGCAGCAGGAAGAACAGCAGTTGTAGTGCCCTTGTGGTTGATGTCCTAGTGGCGAACCATGCAAAAGCATGAAAAGGGGCAGCCATCATCAGCCCATTTTTAAAGCAGGTGCAGGATGATGATCGGCAGGAGTTACAAATTCCTGCCATTTCTTTTTTAACTTTTATTTATCGCAAGCCTCTGGACGAGATGCACTCTGTGATACTACAATAAGCAAGTCTTGTTGACAAAGACAGTAGCAAACTCAATTTAGACTTCGGCTTGGCCATCGGCTTCGTTGTTGCGGTCACAGGTCATAAAACTTCGGGAGAGCCGAGAGCGTTTTCCACCCGGACATCTACTTTCGGACCATGGAAGCCATCGAATCGTTTTATTCCAAAAGCGAGGGTTCTCCGAACACTCAGCTGGTGGCATAGCCGCGTTGCACCTTGTCGTCGAAAGAGGCTGCGCTGTAAAGGAAATTCAGAGCCATCCGATCCCCGATTTGCCGCTCCATAAAAAGAGGGAGTTCCGTGCGGCAGCTGTTCAGTCGCCTGTTTTTTTTGGGTTCTTCCTCAGAGGGATCCCAGATCACAGCACTTTCGGTCTCAAGATGACACGTTTTGAAGACACGCTTCTGTTTACGCTTCTGTTTGAGGAAATCTTCCAGAAAGTGAAAATGGCAGACCTTTGAAAGACTTCTTGGGTGCCCTCAGTTAACTCAGCGCCCAGGCAACAACTTCGTTTCTCTTCACCCGGCTTGGGGCTCAGGGAGCTTTGTAAAGGTTGGTGTGGGTGCAATTTTGGATTTGCACTCTGTACTTCCAATCTAAAACGTTCTAAAACCCTCGTCTAAAAAGCGCCTGGCCCAAAAACGCTGCCGTTGAAGAGAAAAACGGACGAACGAAAAATGCAAACGGAAAAGGTCCGCTTTGCAGAAGATGACGTGACGTGACGAACATCATTGCAGCCCACTGGATGCTGGTCTCAAGCACTGGTGACACTCTGCTTCTTACATTGAGGAGATTGTCCTTCCTAACAAAACCATCTACAAAGGCACATGGTGCCTATTGCTTTTTGCCTTTGCCTACTGCCTTCTTCAAAGAAAAGTGCTCTAGCAATTTCTGATGAACCCATGGCTCTCCGGTGGAAATGACAAATTGGTGCCAAAGCAATCCCAAAAACTAACTCAGTCTCTTAGAAAACCAACAAAGACCAAAACGCAAAGAAACCAACAATCCAATCTTTTTGAGCCGTCAGAGACCCAAACTTGGCGCCATTGGGAATCATCAACGCCGAGGTCTTCTTGGACGAGGATGGGAACCAAATTCTGCCGGGGGCCTCTGGTGGGATCGAAGCGAAGCCGAAAACGCCAACACGGAAGGACGAGGGGTTTTGGGGGTGGTGAAAGAGGTGGAAAAAACGTGCGAGATAGGGAAATAACAATGCGGTACCTTGGTGCCAAATTGGAAAAATGCAGAAGTTTATTTGCAAAGACCGGAAAGGGGTTTGATTTTTTGTCTATATAAAGACTCTTGTTGCCCAGCTTGCTATTATGACCTTGCTTCATTGGGCCTATTTGGATCGAGACTCCATCCGAGTTGTTTAGCTCCGTTCCGCCGGTTGTTCCCTTGTAAAGAAAAGGCCAGCCGCCGCGAGCCGGGCGCTTTTGAAATCCAAAGAGCTCGAGCCGAGGCGGCCGAGGCTGCAGTGCCGTGCAGGGGAATGTGGGACTTTCCCTGCCAAAAGTTCTCATCAGAACTACGACTTCTATTTGTTGGCAGCCAGCAGTTTGATACACTTCTGGAGTCCTGGAAGACTGCGAAAGCATGTTTATTTCTTTTTTTCTGAAGAAAGAAGCGGACGTACAACGAAAGAATGGAAGAGGAACGCAGAGAAAGAGAATGCAAGCGGGAAACAATTAGAGAAGGGAACGAGAAAACACAAGAGTGCGAGAAGAAGAACAAGAGAACAAAGAAACGAGAAAACAAAGAGAGAAGAAAGGACGGAAGAAAGAAATAGGAACGAAAAGGATGAAGGACGAAGAGAAGGAGACTGGAAGATACTCTTAGAAGAAGAGACGCTGAGAAGAACAGCATCGGATACGAAGAGAAAGGGAATCAGGAGAAAGTAGGACAGACAAAAAAGAGTGAAAGGATAGGTATACCAAGTGCAACTTTTTGAAAGAGAAGCATGCATAACGTCGGTTTGGTTTTTCGACTCTCATGCCGAAACCGGAAAGAACAATACACCCAGAAGAACATGAAGAAAACCAATAATGGGAGAAGAAGGTTTTATGAGAATAAACAACGGAGAAAATGAGAGACGAAGAGAAAGAGAGAACCGGAGAACGAGAACAGAAGTGAATCGAAAAAGAGAGTCAGAAAGGAAAAGGAAAAAGAAGAAAAGGCTGAGAAAAAAGAAGACATTCTGCAGATAAGGCAACACAAATAGAATAAGAGATTAAGAGAGTAAGAGAAGACGAGTATAAGAGACGAAAAAGATGGAAGGAGGAGAGAAGAGGGGGGAGTGAGAGAAGAAAGTGATGGAAAAAGTAAGGAGAGTTGGCACGAAGAAAAGAATGAAACAACAAGGGAATGACAGAAGAAAGGAGTGCGAAAAGAGAGCTCTCCTTCAAAGAGAAACTAAGAAAAATAGGAAAAAACAATATTTTCCTCAGGGTCTCCAAAAGCTTGTTTTTCCCCACCACTACGAACACTCCAGCACAATACACTGATTGGGGACCATGTTTGAAACATGAGGTGTCCTGAAATAATGTTCTTGGCCTTAGGAACAGGTAGGCTGAGGACACCTTCAAAAGATCACTGAAAGATGGAACATCTATGAAAACCTCAAAGAAGAGCCCAGGAGAATCCGACAAAAAGAACGAGGGAAGAAGAGACATAGGTAACTAATATGCAAAGCAGGAGAGTGGAGATTAAGCGCAGGAGAGACAGATGCTTGTGGACGGCCCTGGTTTCCTTTTGGCGTAGAAGATGAAAAACAAAAACAAAAAGTGAACTAAAAAGAAACTATTTATTCGTTTTGACCTCTGATAGTTGCAGTTGGTTTCAATTTGGGTCAACATCTAGGGTACCTTTTCGGGGATTGCTACCTCCCTACCCTGTCCTTTTAAAGAGGCTTTTTGGGTGTGCACTGGGGTACCCTTTTTTTGTGACAGATTTTTGGCTTTATCAAAAAGCTATCAAGGGATACCTTCTTGGCAGTAGGAGCAGTAGGAGCAGCAGATCTCTTCAAGTCTTCGGAAAACATGGTGAGCTAGGCACTGAAAGGGTGTTTTGACTCAAGGCCAAGGGAAAGAATTCAGAAGACCTCTGGAATGCCAGCCATGAAGTTGTTTTTTTTCTCACTTAGATTAGCATCTCCAAGTCCTCCCCTCAGTAGAACGTGTTAATACTTGTGACGAGTGCCTTGCTGAAGTGCGGGGGTTAACCAATCATTCAGGTTGGACTGCTATGGATACTTCATTCCATAGAGGCTGGCTTCTTCGTGAGAAACGCGTTCGCAGTGTGGCGATGTTTTTCTGTCTAAATAGTGCTTCTTGAAGCAGTGTGGCCCATTGATGTTCAACACTGAACCATTGTAGTGCACTGTTGACCCATTGAGTGAGCATGACAGTTTGACCACATGAAATTATATAAGTTTCTCTTTCCCACTGCACATTTATCTTCTCCATTGCGAGACCGACATTTCCTTTCTTCGTCTTTCGGTTCGGCTGGGAAAAGATGAGAGGTCTGCAACCGAAAGACGCGGAGCTGATGCAGAAGCCGTGCGCAGAGCTGCTCACAGACTTTCACCCCGCGGCAAGAAAAACGAAAAAAGGAGTGGCAAAAACTCAAGTGGCGAATGGTTTGATGGATTTGTCAAGCGCAGTTTTGTTGTGCCTTTGTCGAAAGGCGCGACGAGAAAACACTGGACAATTGAAGGTCAATCGGAAAATTGGTGAAAGATATGTCCCTGTGAAGTTCCATTTGCAAATGCAAGCTATGATGTAGAATCTGTAGAACATTTGACTTCGCATTGGATTACTTCAGATGCTGATCATGCTATGGACAGCAGCTCGCACTCATGCAGAAAGTTGAGTTTGGCTCATAAAAGTATAAGAAGTGACAAGCATGGCGACAAGACACTTCAATATGACATCGACAAGACACTTGAACACGACATCGACAAGTGTGATATCAGCAATGTGTATTTGTCAATCCGTGCAGACAACCATGATCATAGGCCAGTTCCACAAAAAGAATGGCGCAGTCAACACATTTTCTTGTTCAAATGCGGGCCGTATTCGCAGGATCATGCTTTTATGACTGCCTCCATAAGTCGGAAGCCATGGATTTTGTGGATTTTGCTTTTGATATTCACGAAGCTGCTTCGTGGAGGTGCGTTTGGCTCTATGTTTGGGACAAGGCAAAGTCACGCTGCGCTGCGGAAGCGGACGCTGTGCTGTGCCGAGATGACCGAATGGGACCTTGACCTAATGGAACTGGAATCAGTACTGCAAGCTGCGCACACAGCATGGGGTCGCCTGTTTGAAGCCCATGCCACGCAAAAGCTTGGCACCAAGTATTCTCCGGTGCTCGAGGCCTTTTCGGTAGACATGGGCAAAAAAGGTCAGATAGACTTCCTCGGTGTAGCAGATGGATATGAAGCTTGGGAAGACTTTGCCAAGGACCACATGACGCACATGCACAACAGCACCTGCGCAACACTACACGCACCACATTTCCTGATTGCAGAAATCGGGCTAACAACCCAAACCTTGGTGAAAAAAATCAAAGACAATGCAACATCCCTCAGATTGATGGAGACGTTCGTCAGCACCATGCGATCCAAGAACTTTAGTGCCGCAAAATGCTTGGTTTATGACGGGGCGGATGCAGAAGACTTCACAAAGACCAACTTGGCAAGGCAATTCTTGGACGAAGGGGGAATCTTGATCAATATTCCGTACCTATCGGCAGAGACAGTCCTGGCAAAATTGAATGAAACCTGAAACTTTATTGCAAGAGGAGAGGGTTGTTTTTCTGCGTGCTGGTGTGGCTAGCGGCAAGTCTACGTTGGCGCAATATCTTTGTAGAGAGCAAGGTATCTGCAAGTTTATCCTCCTGCTCCTGGGAAGGCAACCGATGCAGAATGTTGGGAGAAGGCTTTGTTGCAAGCGGTTTCCCCCGCTGATGTAGTCAGAAACTTGCAGATTGCATTCGAGCTGCTCTCGAAAAACGAACAGGTCTTGGTGTCCGATGAATGCCATTTGCTTTTTGCTTGCCCCGAGTTCTACCAGCAGTTCCTGAAAACGCCCCCGTATCTGAAACAGCGTCCAATGGTTCTGCTATTATCTGCAGCATCTGAAATGCAAAGTCTGCAAGGACAGACCTTTACAACGCCAGGCGAAATTACTGGAAAATACACGTGGACGCCCCCAATTCCACATGCCAAAGCTCTTGTTAATCAACTTGCCCCGGCTGATGTGTATTTGTGTCAAAAAGCGATTGATTTCTTTATGAACCTTTGTGGTGGACACAGAGGTATTTTCATGAGAGCCATGGAATGGGTGCAGGAAAAGCAGAGCAGGAACAGCACTCCGTGGAATTGGACTCGCGCCCTTGGCGAGGCTAGCCTAGCATGGGACACAGAGAATTGGATTGACGTGCCAGATGATAGTTTGATGAGGAAACTTCAGGCTAGTCGGGCCATTCGTGTGAACGGGCGCAAGCTTGGAGAACATACCAGAACCATTTTTGAAACTCTTGTGCGAGGGTACTGATGACATCGCAATACCTCTCCGTCGCGAGCTCACAATTCATGGTTTTATACTTCCTACTCTGCAAGACAATATGGGGGCGGAGCAAAATGAGTTTCGGGAACTGGATTGGGCAGACGTGGGGAGAAAGTATTGTGTCGCCAACTACCTGATGGCTTCCTATTACCGCTCAGTGCTTGCAGTCAAGCGGCAGCTGACAGTGGATGTAGACAGAAAGCCAGTTTCTTGCACAGATCTGCTTTTGCGAGCGCTGCCATATTTGCTTTTTCCAGATGTGGTGGTGGCCACAATAGGGAAAGATAATGTTCTACCTGATGTTTCACAAGAGCAGCTCGCATTTGAGATTCATTACGCGGCCGCCGTAATTCGGGTGTTGAAGCGCTTGGGAGTTCGTGCATATGGTTTGGAGAGCCCAAGTATGGGGAAGATTTGTAGAATGCAGGGTTCAACTTTCGCCATTGAAGCGGTCATGGCTTCTCGCAGAGCAGCTGACATTGAAGAACACCGAAATCGCTTTGACCAAGTGACAAACTACGCAAAAGCCAAGCACAAGTGCTTGCTGATCATTGGAAGGCATGACCAGGACAGCAAATTGAGAAAACTTGTGCGAGACACGTGGGGTGGTATAGAAATTGTTGGACTTGCAGCCAATTCGGCACACACAGGCTACCATGTCTATGTGAAGCAGCAAGAGCAGCAAGGTAAGGAAGTTTTGGACTTCTGCATCCCATGCGATGGAGTTGCAAGGAGCTTTTCCTTCAAGGATGAAGAACCATTCTTTGAGATCAGTTCTGCCCAGAAGTTCAAATCCATTCAGCCAGGCTGGATTTCTCTTGAGCATTCAAACATATTCAAACTCACAGGTCTGTGTTTTGAAAGATGTCAGAACGTGTAGGCAGTAATTGGTTTTCACTGCAATCACGAAAGCTAGCGGAGCTAGCTTGCAGCTACTCTTGCTTTAGCAAGTACTACTAGCTCTTTGGGGTGAGAGGAGGGAGGGGTCGGGACGAAACGCCCTCCCCCCAGGATCCGCCCCCCCTGGATCGCTCTCCGTCCTTCCCTGGTTTTTCTACTGTGGTTTTCAATGGTTTTTCCATGGTTTTCTAGGGTTCTCCAATGTATTTTGCCTAGTGTTTTTCCATGATTTTCTAGGTTTTCCCATAGTTTTCACAGGTTTTTGCATGGGTTTCTGAACAACAACAACAACAACAACAACAACAACAACAAGGAACAAACAAAAACTGCGACCCCGTCTCCTCTTAAAATCTTACTTTGTCTCCACCCTTGGGTAGAGACAAAGACTGCGACCCCGCCGTTGTGATTTGACCCCTCCCCCTGGAACAACGCTTTTCCAAAGATAAAAAAAAGAAGCTGGTTTTAAAGTCTAAGAGACTCCAGTTCTTCAAATTCCGTGCTCCTTTTTTGGCTTTTGGGGCTGCTGGCCGGGAACTGGCACAAAAGGATCCCAAAAGGAGATCGGTTCTAAAGGAAAAGAGCCCAGTTCTTGAAATTCCGTGCTCCTTTTTAGCTTTTGGGGCTGCTGGCTGGGACCTGGCACAAAAGGATCCCAAAAGGAGACCGGTTCTAAAGGAAAAGAGACCAGTTCTTCAAATTCCGTGCTCCTTTTTAGCTTTTGGGGCTGCTGGCTGGGACCTGGCACAAAAGGATCCCAAAAGGAGACCGGTTCTAAAGGAAAAGAGACTCCAGTTCTTCAAATTGGAAGAACCAGCGTCTCTTTTCCTTTAGAGCCCGTCCTTTTGGGATCCTTTTGTGCCAGGTCCCAGCCTGATTGGCGTCAACTCCGTGTCCACCGGCGCGTCCGAAAAAGCCGCTGCAGTCCGGTCGAACAAAGGCGAAGCTTCTTCGGTATTGGCTTTGTTCGATGAACCATGGAGACACATGGAGACCAATCAAAGGGATGGGGACTTGACGTTCGGATCCAAGGTCTTCTAGTTCGAAGATGAATCTCCAAGAAATCCTCAGAAGTAGATATTCAGATATATGTACTTACCTTAATTGGGAGAACCCCCAACCAATGGCTTTTGGTCTGCGCGCGGCGCATGGTGTGTCGTAGCAGCATGTTCTCTGCGAGTCCAAAAGTCACTGCCAGACGGTGGGCGAAAGTCTCGTTCTGCAGTCTCGTCGCGTCGGAGACTGAAGTAAATAACGTTTATTCTTTGGGTGACCCGAGACGAGGACTTTCCTTTACTTGGGAAAGAAGCGAACAGAAGAGCTTCGGCAGACCGGACGGATGACTCCACACAGGGAGATGGGAAGAAAACCGGTGCGAAGAGTCCTTCGAACGTTCACCGCCCTTATAACGCGGCCCCTTTTTCGGTAGGTACCCCGGTGGACAACGCTTGGATCGAACGGAGGGAATGGATGGGGTAATTGGTGGAGGACTTGGAAAGACATTGGGAGGAGTGGTCATTGTGCAGGCCACATAGTGCATCTTCTGGAACTGGCCATTTTAAGGACTCCAACACCTGGTGGTCGCCAGCCCTTCCAGCCGGCCGCAAAACAACCCCGCAAGTGGGTTTCGGTGCTCGTCCCGGGAAAAGCGTCTATTTCTACAGGCGAGCCAGAGTGCAAAAGCAAATGCACCGATGTTCACCAGGTAGATAGATCACCTTGACATGTGAAAAAGCATGGCTCCCATCCAACCTGGGACTGATGTGTACCGCTAAAAGCGCCGGTCTTTTTGGGTGGCACAGACGGTTCACCCACCCTTTTCACGGTTTCTCCTTTGCGCCCACACTTGTCCCTATTCTGAAGCCTCTTCTGTGGCCCTCACCATGATTTGAAGTGTGAACAGGGTGTGCTGTTGCAGGATAAAGCTCGCAAAGAAAGACATTTTGCAAAGCAATACACCAAACAAAGCACTTGCAAGAGGTATAAGGGCCCAAATCGATGGATGAAACCATGACAAACTGTTTCGAAAACAACATCAGCAGCCATCGAGTGAGACAAGCCATAGAAATATGTCCTAAACCTTTACGTCACTGAGTCATTTTGTCCCTTTTTCTTTCCTTTTTCTTGAAGATCTTGAACCCTTTCCTTCCAACCATTCCTTTTCCTTTACTGAACAAGAAACATGTGGCATTTTTCTCGCTGCCTCGGCGCCGTGCTGCGGAAGAACTTCACCCTCAAGCGGCTTTGACACGAACGTCCGTCGGAACCCTCCGCGGGGGGACGGTCGTTGGAACGGTGGAGACGTCGTTGTGGACGGTGGGGGAAAGACGGAGAGACACATCGGGTTGGGGTTTTGGATTGGGGGAAGATCTCTTTTTCATGGGAGGCTTGACGTTTGGGGGGCGGTTTGGCTGACTGGGTTCTGTGCGTTTTGGCTGAAGTGCCAGTCCCATGGGCCGAAAGAGCCGACGAGTGCAGGATTGGTTTCGAAGAACCGGAGAGCTCGATTGGTTGATTGGGTGAGGGTTCAGTTGAGCACTCCTTTTTGGAGTTGTCCAGATGTTTTGGTGGTGGCTCTACAGTGTTTGGGTGCCTCAAAAAAGGCACCAAGAGAGAACATGGATGCATCTCATCTCAGGTCTTTTTGCCCAGTAGCTCTATCCACCCAGGAAGTACGGATTCACCCACCGACTTCACCCGGATGCTCCGCTCCGTCGGACGAGGTCGCGGCAATGGGCTCCGGCGCTGCTGGAGTTGCTGTTGCCCGTGGCGCTGATGGGGCTGTTGATCTGGATCCGCAGCGAGGTGCAGAAGGAGTGGCCGGAAAGCGAGAGGGGGGCAAGATGAGATGGGAAGAAATGGGAGTGCAGGGGAGTGTGGGTGCATTCTTGGTGAGATTTTGGAATCACCCGCAATCAGCAATTGTTCCTTTTCGGGGTGAGCGGGCTTGGGATGAAATGTTTGCTAACCAATCCCAAGACCAAAGGGAATTCTTCCTAATAAGCTTTTCAAGTCCCAGATCCAAAGCTTTTGTTCGCCACTGGAGTAGTCCGTCTGTTCAACAGTGACCGGAGTCAAGGGGCTCAGCCATTGGGAAGCCTTCGCACCCACCGCTAAGAAGCCTTGCAAGCTGCAGCCACGGCCCACCGGAAGAGGGGAAACCGAAGACCGAAGTGGGTGACATAGAAGCTTGGACACCCTGACAAACCCCTCCATATTGACCACGGGTCTTATGTCTTCTTCTTCCATCAGGAAGACGTGCCGGCGCGGAACTACGTGAATGCTCCCGTGGCTGGGCAAACAGGAAAGCGCCCGGTGAAGGATGGCCGGACACAGGTGGGTTTCAGTCGGTTCGGGAAACGACCCTTCCTTTACTTGGGTCGATCCAAGGCTTCCAGGTCCCCAGTCAGCGCCGGCGGCGCGGTGTGCGAGTGGTTGCACGCTGCCATGGAGCTTTCATCACTTATTTGTTTCACTGCCTTTAATAGCCATTGGCAAAGGGACACTAATGTTCGCAGGATGATTGCAGGATCAGTTCGACCAAAATTGCACATGCATAGAGTCCTCAGACCAATGAACTTCTAGTGACACTTCAGACTTGATCCTTGCTCCCAACACGAGATCTGGAATGTCACTCAAAGGAGGCGATACCCGAATCAGAATTTCCTCAAGATTGGCAGAGCTGCTGCTTTGGCTCACCTTTTCCTTTCGGGCTCCAGGCCCTCCCTCGTTCGCGCTCTCTATCGCCGTTCAGGCGAACAATCCCACCTGGTTTTCGGCGGACGCCCTGGACGTGGAACAGATCCCAGGTGCCCCGGACCAGCACGGTGGACTCGGTGCGGGCCGTACAGCCCAGCCTTTTGGGGATTTGGGTGTTTTTCTGGGCCAGGGGTCTGTGCAAGCTATGCTCACATGATGAAACATGTTCTCGAAGCAGCCAATCTTTGGTGTGCTCGTAGACCAGTTTGGCAGCTCGATCTTGTTTGTTCAGGCCTTTTTGATCCCTTTTAGTCGACCCCCTGTTTGGATTGCTTGATGGGGGCTGCCCATAACGAGCTTTCAGGTGTTTAGAACCGACTGTGTGAGGGATTTTTGCATTTTTGGAATCCCGGCTAAAAATAAAATAATGGACAAAACACTGGCAGCCATTTGTCAATTGATTTTCCAAATCCCACACTTGCAGCCAGTCAATTTTGTCAAACACTTTTCAACTTCCAGCTTTGATCAGCTGCAAGCAGTCCACACTGTCTCCCGGACATTGGCAAATCGTTCGGAGTGGCAGGGTTGCCTCCCGCCCTGCAGAAGCAGCTCCAGCAGCTCTGCAAGTGACCTGTCAAAGTTCCGTTGAAACAGGGTAATTGCTGCCGTTTCCCTTTTGCTGTGGAAACAGTGGAAGATCGTTCTGCAGGAAAGCACAAAGAACAAGGATAAACTGGCCCCACCAAATATTGTGGTTTTGGGACTTGGGTTGGGCCTCTTCCAGACCTGAGAAAAACCACCATTTTGGCCTCTGCCAATGGCGTCTGGCGCCTTTTTGGACCGGGAGACCTAGCCGGTGGGACTTCCTGAGGGCCTTTCCTTCCTGGGTGTGGGGCGCTTGGGACCATGAACGTGGGAAGTTCTTCACCATTCCTTTGATCCTGCGCCCGAAGAGAAACCCACCGGCCCCGAAGGCGGCGGGTCTAGCCGCTGTGCCCCGCCTGCCGCCCCTCCGCGCGCTTCGACCGGATCGTGCTTCGTACCGAGTCTGCCGGACAGTGGCCTTTGCCCCGAAATCTTCGCGAATGCGACCTGGGGCCTCAGGAAGGAGCATTACACAGGCGGACCGGAAAGTAAAACCAAGTCACCGAAGGGAAGAGCTTGGGTATCGAAGCCACATATTATGTATATACACGGTCACCAATGGAAGCCCCTACACCACTAAGGGACCTCCATTGGACACCCCTTCAAGGTCCAGGTATATATATATATATATGTCGACGT